CTGCTTCTTGCTGTAATACACCATCTCCACTGTTTCAGCTTACTCTTTGTCTCTAGGATCTAGGAGGTCCTCAGCACAGGGACCCCGGCTCCAAAAATGTACTCTACTCCCATCTCTTTTGGGTGGTAATGAGGTCCCCCATTTCTGCCTCTGGGATGGCTCATGTTAAGCTTAGTATGATGGAAAAACTGACCAATCCATTTGTTAGGGTTCTATACACCTTATTTGCTCCACATTTTAAGGAGCTCTGGTAGAGTAGTGGGTTATGATTTAGCAGCTAATTACAAGGTCAACAGTTTAAATCCACCAGATGCTCTATGGAAGAAAGATGAAGTTTTCTGCTCCTGTAAAGATTTACAGTATTGGAATCCCTATACAGGATCTCTATTAGTCGGAACTCAATTGATGGCATACCTCTGCCACCATCCACCTTTACATTTTATGTGAATCCACACAATGAATGCTTATAAAACCAGCAGTTATGAAATCAAAATGAGTAGTTATTGTTGTTAGGTGCCATCGAGTCGGTACCGTCCCATAGTGACCTTATGCACAGCAGAATGAAACACTGCCTGATCCTGGCCAACCTTACTACTGTTGCCATGCTTCAGTCCATCGATGCTGTCACTTGGCCAACCCATCTCATTGGGGGTCTTCCTCTTTTTCTCTGACCCTCCACCTTACCAGACATGATATCCTTCTCCAGTGACTGGTCCCTCCTGACAATATGTCTGAAGTATGAGAGATGAAGTTTGGCCAACTTGGCCTCCAAGGAGCACTCTGGCTGCACTTCTTCCAAAATGGATCTATTGGTTCTTTTGGCAACCTATGACACTTTCAATATTCTCCTCCAACACCATAACTCAAATGCATCAATTCTTCTACAGTCTTCCTTATTCACTGTCCAGCTTTCGCATGCATATGAGGTTATTGAAAATACTATGGCTTGGGTCAGGCGCACCTTTGTCCTCAAGCTGACATCTTTGCTCTTCAACACTTTAAAAAAAGGTCTTGTGCAGCAGATTTGCCTAATACAATACATCGTTTGATTTCTTGACTGCTGCTTCCTTGAGTGTTGATAGTTGATCCGAGAAGAATGAAGTCCTTGACAACTTCAATCTTTTCTCCATTGATAAGAACGTTGTTTATTGGTGCAGTGGTGAGGATTTTTGTTTCCTTTACATTGAGATGTAATCCATAACTGAAGGCTGTGCTCTTTGATCTTCATCAGTAAATGTTTTAAGCCCTTTTCTTGAGCAAATCTTCTGTCTAAGACTTCTTTGAAGGGGCAGTGATGTCAGTTTGAGGACTAATGTGTGCCTGACCGGGGCCATGGCATTTTCAGTCTTCTCATATGCATGTAAAAGCTGGACAGTGAATAAAGAATAGTTGATGCTTTTGAATTATGGTCTTGGTGAAGAATATTGAAAGTACCATAGACTTCCATAAGAACAAACAAATCTCTCTTGGAAGAAGTACAGCCAGAATGGCTCTTAGAAGTAAGGCTGGAGAGACTTCATCTCACATATTTTGGACACCAGGAAGGACAAATCTCTGGAAAAGGACAACATGCTTGGGTAAAGTATAGGGTTAGTGAAAAAGGGAGACCTTCAGTGAGATAGGTTGACATAGTGGCAATCAACAATGGCCTCCACAGTTGTGAGGGTGTCCCAGGACCAGACAGTGTTTTTGTTCTGTTGTGCATAGGGTCACTTTGAGTCAGTATCAACTTGACTGCATATAACAACAACAATCACCACCCCCACAAGGGTACCATACACCTTATTTGCATTTCATGCATTAGCAAATGATCTAATCCCCTTGGTGGGCCACAAGCACTTTATTTGTATTGTGTCACCCAATCATTTGTTGGGAGTTAGAAGACCATGGCTAGAAAGGTCACATAGAAGCAATCCATTGCACTGCACTTATAAGAAGGGGTGTCAAAAGGTTAGAGGGAAAAAGGAATTAAAGGATAATGGAATGTTTAAAGCCCCCTAGCATTATATATAATATTTTTACGTGTGTGGTTTGTGTGTGTGTGTGTGTGTGTGACATGGTCCAGGGTTTCCAAGGAGCAACTGGTGGGTTTGAATCACTGAACTTGCACTTCAAACTGACCTTGCAGTCAAACACATTGTCCTGCAGCACACCAGGGTTCATATCCATATACACACACACACAGAGTTTATTGTGACTATATATACACATGGAGTTCTGGTATGTCACTGTGGGTTAATGCACTGGACTGTAAGGTCAGTTTGAACCACAAGGTTAGTGGTTCAAGCTCACTAGCTGCCTCTTGGAAACCCTCTACAAGGTTGCTATGAGTCAGAACTGACTCGAAAGCACTTAACAACATATCTACACACACACACACACACACACACACATATATTATGGAGTTCTGGTGTGGCGCTGTAGGATCAGCAGTGGACTGCTAATTAGAAGGTTGGTGGATTAAACCACTAACCACTTACTGGGAACCCTATAGAGGGTCTCTGAGTTGGAATGGACTCAATGGCAGGACTATAAACAATACTGTGTTGGACATCCTGGTAGCTAATTAATTGGTGTGTTCACTGTAAGACTCTGGGTCTGTACTGGTGACTCTGAAGTGACTCTTCTGTCAAAAACCACAGGAGCAGCTCTCAGCAAACCAGGCAACCTGGTAGAGAAACTAAGAAAAACCTTAACCTCTTATGTTTCATTTTCCCCAAAGAAAGTGAAAACTGTGTCTGTCCTCAGTCTCACCTGAGCAATGAAAACCATCCACAGAGTTTCTCTTCATTCACTGCCCCGTAGTGTGTGTGTGTGTGTGTGTCTGTGTGTGTGTGTGTGTGTGTGTGTCTGTGTGTGGTGGTTTCTCAGTGTCAGGAAGACCCTGTCTACACAATTACCTGGAACCCACCTTCTGGGCACCAATAAGTTAGAAATGGAATCAATTCAGTGGTGCTCATTTTTCCACATCTATTCCTGATGTAGAAAAGACCTCTCTCCAGACGTAACTTAGCTCCTTCCTTTGCCTCACAGAAAGCCCTTCCTTCTGGGGGTGGTGAGAGGAAGAGGAGACAGGAGGGCAGTGGTGATCAGAGGGGCTGGCCCCCATGTCTCCCTAATTTGCTTGATCCCAGAGAGAAGTTAAGGCTTCCACTAAAGCCTGGTCAGGAGACAGCTGCCCACTTCTAAGAAAGCAAGACACCACCCACTCCCCAAGCTGAGGACCTGCCTGGAGGCTGAAGAGGACGCTGGGATAAGCCCCCTCAAAGTCACAGATGGAGCAATGGAGCCAGACACTAGAGGGACTAACAGCAAGGAGCAGACAGGTAGAGGCTCCTGCCTCTGGAGCCTGAGGGAGAGAAAGGGAGGAGAAATAGTCAGACAGGCTGTCCACCTGACCTGGCTCCTTCAGTGCCTGGGGGCCTCCACACGTGAGACAGGAAAGGATTGTGGGTCAGATGAGGAGCTGGGGAACCTGCTCTGTCCCTGTAGCCAGAAAGACACCTGTATTGTGTAAACTCTCTCATTTTTCCCTGCAGCCCATTCCCTTTCCCTTCCTTCTGTTGTTATTTTTAAGTCTGCTGATCTTGTGAATGACTGCCAGGCCTTGTCCATAGCTCCTCTCAGCAGTGTGTGCATGCATACCTGAGAGTACATGTGCGTGCATGTACTCTGTGCACTGAGTGTTCACATGCACACGTGCATGTGAACACATGTGCATCTCTATGCATTATGTGTAAGGGAGATAGGAGCATATTACTGGCTGCCTCTTTGAAACCCAGCCTGCGGCCAGCTTCCTTTCTGTTCTCTTCTGATTCTCTAGGCTGGTTCTCTCTTGGAAACTCCACTCTTACTGGTGAAGGGGCACTTGCCAGGGAATTTCCCTGCCTGTCTCCCTGCTTTCCTCTCCAGCTGTGTTGAGATTCAATATGGAAAACATGAGTGCTGCTGAATGGATTTTATCCTCAGCCTCACCAGAGGGCGAGTCTTCATTTAAGAGACCACGACAGAGGGGTTCTCCCATAGTATTTCCTGAGTCTGGGTAGGGGGTGTTGCTGTGAGACTGGATAATGGGGTCTGAGGGAAGAAGAGGCAAAGGTTTTGGGAGAGATGCAGGCAGAGAAAAAAAAAAAAAAACCAGAGCAAATGAGGAGGGAGGAGGTAAGAGAGGAAGAGAGAGAGCCAGTGAGAAAGAGTGAGAGGTAGTTTAAGAGAAGTAGGAAGAGCTAGAACTGATGCACAGAGGAGAGGAATTAAGAGAAGTGGTGGAAACAAGAAGAGTCCATAAGGAGAGAAGGGAGAAAAGGGAGAGACAGAGAAAGAGAGGAGATACAAGGCAAAGAGAAGGGAGGGAATGCAGGGAAGGAAGGAAGGAATGCAGAGAGGGAAGGAAGGAAGGAAGGAAGGAAGGAAGGAAAGAAGGAAAGAGGAAGGAAGGAAAGAAGGAAAGAGGAAGGAAGGAAGGAAGGAAGGAAGGAAGGAAGGAAGGAAGGAAAGAATGCAGGGAAGGAAGGAAGGACTGCAAAACGCAAAGAAGATGAAAGGGACAGAGAGGTTCCCTGAAGATGTTAGAACAAAAATGGGAGGAGAGAAAAGGTTTGAGAGAGAAACACAGGGAGGTAAACATAAAGAATGAAGGATGAAAAGGGGGCAAAGGTGCAGAGAATGAGAAAGAGAAAGCAAGAAAATGAGCTAAAAAGGAAACAGGAAAGAGAGGGAGGAGGGTACCCTTGTCACTTTTAATATCAGCTGTAATAGCCACTCTTGGCAAGTCATTAGTGGGGAATGTCCCCTCCCGGTCAGCAAGGCCAGGCGTTGGAGGGAGGAGGGGCCGGCCCTGGGTGACTGCAGGCAGGTGGCCTCCCGCCCCTTGGTGGGGCCGCCCAGGCCAAGCCTGCGGGGTATAAGTAGGGAGGCCGACCGGGAGCACCTGTCAGGGACAGCTCCCGTGGACGCGCAGGTGCCAGGCGGCAGGTGGCTCCGGCTGCGCCAGCCCCAGCATGAGCAACTTCGACCTCCCATCGCCCTCCTCCCCGCGCTGCAGCCCCCAGTTCCCCAGCATCGGCCAGGAGCCCCCCGAGATGAACCTTTATTATGAAAACTTTTTTCACCCACAAAGCGTGCCCAGCCCTCAGCGGCCCCCATCCTTCGAAGGAGGTGGCGAATATGGGACCACCCCGAACCCCTACCTCTGGCTCAACGGACCTGCAATGACTCCGCCGCCCTACCTGCCTGGCACCAATGGCAGCCCCTTCCTGCCCCAGGCCTATGGCATGCAGAGGCCTCTACTGCCTAGTATGGCCGGGCTGGGGGGCAGCGATCTGGGCTGGCTGCCCCTCCCCTCACAGGAGGAGCTGATGAAGCTGGTGCGACCCCCCTACTCCTACTCGGCTCTGATTGCCATGGCCATCCACGGGGCACCCGACAAACGCCTAACCCTCAGCCAGATCTACCAGTATGTGGCCGACAACTTTCCCTTCTACAACAAGAGCAAAGCCGGCTGGCAGAACTCCATCCGCCACAACCTGTCGCTCAACGACTGCTTCAAGAAAGTACCGCGGGATGAGGACGACCCTGGTAAGAGGCTGAAGCCACTACTTCAGCAAGCCAGCCATGCCTTCCTGGAAGGCTCACTTTCTTCCTCCCCAGCACCCCACTCTCGGAGGTTCTGGGTGTGGCTGTGTCCCACACAACTGGGGCCAGCTAGGAGAATGAGCTAGGAGGAGCTCAGCAGGAAAGGAGTATGGGCTGGAGAGGGTGGACTCTGGGTTTTCATACTGGTGTACCACTGACTGGTCAGTGACCTTGGGCAGTTTATGTCTTTCAGCCCCAGTTTGATCATCAGAAAAATAAGGATGGTAGCAGTGCCCACATTGCAGCTTGTGTGTGTGTGTGTGTGTGTGTGTGTGGTGGGGGGTGGGTAAATGAGAAATAATGCATGTAAAGGGTTTGTGTTGACAGTGCTCAATTGATTGCTAAAATAAATCTGCATGAGCACAGAGTAAGCCCTTGGTCTTGGTGAATGAGTCAGGGACTAAACAAAGCCCAGTGTGCACCAGGTCTGCCGGGAACAGACCCTGGCATTTCTTGAACCACCACCACATACCTGCACCTGCTACCTGCCTTGTTTATATAATCTCCTTGAATCCCAAGAACACCCTTGCAGGGTGGTTGGTGGTGGCTATGTGCCATGGAGTCAGTTCCGACTCCTAGCAACCTTGTATAGGGTTTCTGAAGCTATAAATCTTTATGGGAGCAGAAAGCTTCATCTTTCTTCCATGGAACCCCTGATAGTTTCAAACTGCTGTCTGTGAAATTAGCAGCCTGGCTCATAATCATTTACCAGAGCTCGTAGCTCTTTATAAACCCATTTTACAGATAAGGAAAAAAACACTCTGGGATGAAACAGTCCATCTAAAGTGACACAGGATGAAGTGCTTGAACTTGACTTTGAATAGAGTTTGAACACTATAAATGGTGGGGCACCTATTTTATTTAAATGACTGTTTAAAAAATACAGAGATGTACAGAGAATATTATGTTAGATACTCATACATTCCTTCTCCAGAATGGAAGCCCATTCTTGTTCCACTGAAGGAGGTCAGTGTATAGCTCAGAGGAGTGTTTCCTCTGTCCCTTTTGAGATCATCAAGGATAGTACTATTTGTCCCCCAGCAGACAATATAAATACCCTTTCCAATTTTTGGCCTCACTCTCAGTCTGACCATAGCAGGAAGAGTTCAGTAATTCTGTGGGATGATACCTCATAGCTACAAAGCCCCAAGACACTCTCAGCCTCTCTCACTTCTCAACAAGAGTTGGAGAAAGGAGAGTCAGTTATAATGTGCCCATTTTTCAGACTAGAAAACTGAAACTTGACCCATAACACTTAGTCTAGAGCAAACCTGGGATTCAAGTCCATCTTGTAGCTTTCAGGGTATCCTGGATTTTTTTTAAAGTTTTAAATTCAGCAAAGAAAGCCCACCCCTCAACCCCCCCCAACTCACCCCAAGTACTCTGACCTTAAACACAGTGGGTGGTATGGCCAGTACCTTGTGGTTCAACAAGGTACCTTTTTACAAGGTGGGTGCTTAAATAAAAAAAGTATTTGCTACCTTTGCTTTTAGTTATGACAATAAGGAAGAGCAGAAGTAAAACACATTCTTAATCTCTCTAATTAACCCTTTCCCACTTTTGTATCAGGCAAAGGGAATTACTGGACGCTGGACCCCAACTGTGAAAAGATGTTTGACAATGGAAATTTCCGTAGGAAGAGGAAGAGAAAATCGGATGTTTTCTCCAGCACGGGCTCCTTGTCCTCAGAGAAAACTGAGAACAGTCTCCTGACAGGCAGCCCCAAGACGGAGCCCCAGGAAATCTTAGACAGCACCTCACCAGGCACCACCAACTCCCCAGAGAAGCAGTCCTCCCCTCCCACTTCTGGTGCCCCATGCCTCAACAATTTCCTCTCCACCATGACGGCCTACGTGAATGGGTCAAGCCCCGTGAGCCGCTCTGCAGCATCACCAGGACTGAGCCCTGAGCCCATTGACAAGACGGGGCAGAACTTGCTGAGCTTCAATTCCTATACCCCACTCACCAACCTCAGCAGCCACGGGGGTGGGGGTGAATGGGCCAGCCCCATGCCCACCAACGCTCTTGGCTATGGAGGGTCTGTCCTCAACCAGTTCAGCCCTCACTTCTACAACAGCCTCAACACCAACAATATCCTCTACCCCAGGGAGGGCACCGAGGTCTAGATACAGGGTAGCCCCTGAGGCAGATGGAGGTGAGTTGAGGTTTTCCATGCCAGTCATTCTGCAGTCTAAGACTTCTGACTTCCCAGACTTCACTTGAGAGGCTCGGAGGAGCACACCCTTTTTCTAGAACATTAAGACTTCTGTCTATCACACATGTCCCAAATTTGCAGTGGAAATACTGGAGCCTGGACTACAGTGATAATGGCAGCTGTTTATTGAGCAGTTATTGCCTATTGGGTGCTTTGCTCGGTTCTTGAAAGACATGATCACACTGGCTATTTACAAAGACCCTGTGAGTTAATATGAACTTGCCCATTTAACAGATGAGGAAACTAAGGCTCAGGGAACAGAAGGAACTTTCCCAGAGTCAAGTAAATTAACAAATGGCAATGCCAAATGTCAAATACAAGTCAATGTGACTCCATCACATGGACCAAAGGATCAGGGATGGAGGAATTGGTTTGGCAGCTAAGGATAGTCAGTATGAGGAGCTGATGATGGTAGTCTTGCCTCTGCTTTCTGGTGAGACTTACTACCAGTCTGGACCTGTCTTGTTCTGGTGCCTACCACTTACCAAGAGATACACCCTTTGATACTACTCAAGTTAAAAAGCTCCCTCCTTCAGTTGCCATGGAAGTGATTCTGATTCACAGCAACCTCATGCATATCGGAACTGTGCTCTACAGGGTTTTCAAGGGCTACACTACTGGAAGTAAATTGCCAGACTTTTCTTCCAAGGTATTTCTGGGTAGACTTGAACCTCCAACCTTTTGGTTAGCAGTGTAGCATGTCAACTTTTGTACCACCCAGGGATTAAATCAGGAAGTCCAGCCCCAGGTCACTACAAGTCAATGTGTCCATCCTCTCCCTATAGAGGGACGTTGCTTCCCCAACCTCTCAGGCCCCATCCCCCCAGAGATCTTTGACAGTGGTCAGGGTCAGTGAGGAAAGGAGAGTACACCCCCAGACCCTCACCCCACCCCAGCCCTGCCCACCTGTAAAATCTTTTAATGCCCAGTTTCCTGTGTGTGCGTCTTGGATCAGTGAGCATGAGGTTACCAAGTCTTCCAAGAGAAACAAGGTGGAATAAGTGCTTCCTTTTTAAGGCCCAGGAGAGGTGCATGTTTGTCTGAGCAACAATGGCCTCATGGGAGGGGCTAATTGACTGGCCTCTCAGGGCTGGTGCTGGGAGGCAGAGGCATAGCTCTGAGAGGCTTTTTATGTGTGTAGTTTTTTTGTTTTTTGTTTTTTTTTTGGTATGTCCTTTGTATGCCTGGGATGTTTCATCATAGCACACCCTGGGACAAGGTTTTTGTTTTCTTATTTTCTTTTTAATTAAACCACTTTTGTGCAGAAGCTGTGTGGTCCTGCCTTGTGATTTTCCTGTCTCTTGGCTGCTTGGTTGACTGAACATGGGCCAAGGGCAGCCCGGAGCTGAAAGCGTTTGGACAGAGGCAGAGAGGGAACAAGCATCAAAGCTCTCTCCCTCCTCCATGCTGGTGTGGAAGCAGGACAAAGGTCCACAACCTAACAAGGGGAGCTTGTGAGGGTGGAGGGGTGGTGGTGACAGTGTGGAAGGAATTCATCATTACTGAGCACAAATACGTACTAGACATAACAGACTTTAGAACTCATACAATCTTCATCACTATACCATCAGCATAATCCTCCCGACAACCCAGTGAAGGAGGGGCAGCAGTCCCGTTATACAGATGAGAAAAACAAGGGTCACAGGTGACCCGTTACCCAGGTCTATCTGATGTCTGCCCCTCATCAGTCTGTACATCATCCCAGATGTGGCTGAAACTAATAGTAATAGTAAGAGTAATATCAGTCACTGAAGACTGTGGGCAGGCGGGACATCTTTTAGAAGCCTTAAAACAAGCCACAATGGCACAGTGCATTCTGAAGAGTCCACCTGGGGTGGAGGTCTCTGGGTTGAGCATCCTCTCTCCCTGACTATGCATACAGAGGGTTCAAGTCAGCTGCCCACTCAGACTCTGGGTAACTCTCTCTCCCTGGAGCATCCGATAGAAGGAGTTGAAAAATAACAGCAACATCAACAATAATAATGAACATTCATAGTCAGTTTACTACATTCTAGGCACTGTATTAAGACTTGACTTACTATACTGCACTTAACATTTGGACTACTCCAATGTAATCGCTACCATTATATCCACTTTGAGCGGAGAATACCAAGGACTGGAGAGATTCTGTAACTTGACCGTCAAGATTCAAACCTGGGTTCATTGGCATCATGGCTGAAATGAAACTCTTATTCATTGCACATAGCCCAAGGGTGCCCAGGACTTAGCACGAGAGAACAAAATTATGAAAACTGAGGAGATAAAGAAAAGGGTCTCTGTAGAAACTACTTCCTTGGTGCATTCTCTTCTGAAGAAACCAAACTTCTCTTGGCAAGAGAGAAGGATGTGGTAGCGGCTGAGAGAGGTAGGAGGAAGGGACACAGTGTCAGATCTGTAAAACTCTAAACCCCTTGTTACTCAGGTAGGAAAATTGTGGTCAAGAGGGCAAAAAAATTCAAGTTTACATCACGTGTGAGATAGGGCCAGAGACAGAGTTACAAGGCAGGTCCTTGATCTCAGGGCCAGATTTTTTTTTTTAATTATACTAAACAGAATTTTTTAGTCCCTGGTGTGGCACTGTGGGCTAATGCACTGGACTGCAAAGTTGGTTTGAACCACAGGGTCAATGGTTCAAGCTCACCAGTTGCTTCTTGGAAACCCTTTACAGGGTTGCTATGGGTTGGAACTGACTTGACAGTTCTTAACAACAACAACAACAACAAAAATAATTTTAGATCCCAGTGCCACTGAATATGCTGCAACAGACCCGGAAACTCAACATTCTCCATGAAAAGCCTATGACTATTTAACCCCCAACTCCTTTCCAAGACAGGCTTTCAAAGGCTGATCAAGAGGCTGGGCAAGGAAACGGCGTGAAGGGCCAAGAGAACAGACCAGCCTGGAGAGACAGGGTGATTTAGAACCAAACTCCACAGCACTCAAGTCTCCATTCTTCTTCAGTCCAGAATTTAATGAGCACAGGCAGTCAAGGGAATGTCTTCAGGGCTCTGACAATACAGAGACCCTGCCAAGTCTCGTCTCTGGTTGTGCAAGAGTTCCTGGTCCCAGTGCCAGGGGTTCATAGGAAGTACATACGAGAGGACTGGTATGCACTGGGGGAGTATGAGCCCTAGGCTGAGGAGGGTCTGCCAGCTCAGGTTCCACCGGCTGCTTTTTACTCTTGGTTCTATGCTTCTGAGCAGAAACATGAACTGGAGAATAAGGGAAGTGGAAAAGAAGGCTGGTTGTCTGCCAAGGGTTAAATACTGTGTACTATCTGCTATGGATGAATATTTGCATTGATTAGCCCCCTTTCCTTAGACTTGATGTTGAAGAGACATGACACCCACAATCAGTCTGAGAAGAATTCCTGTGCACTGGAAAGAACAGAAAGGTGAGACTGGAGTGGAAGATGGTAGATAAGAACTGATGCAAAGAGGCTCAAATCACAGTTTACACACTTACCCTCAAGGTGAACTACAATCCTGCCGCAAACCTTGAATTAAAGTCTGACTTTTCAGTTTATGTTGTGTATAGGGAAAAGCATGCACAAAGAAAAAATATATATCAAAATTCCATTTATCTTTAGAGGGAAAGATCAATAAATACTACACACAAAATAGCATCTTTGGTTGGTTATGGAACATGAATTTTTTTCTTTTGGAAATTGTGCTCCTCTTTATGTATGTTCCACCAACTTGTCTGTCAGGTTGTCATACTGTGGTGGCTTGTGTGTTCCTGTGATGCTAGAAGCTATGCCACCGGTATTTTAAATATCATCAGGATCAACCATAGTGGACAGGTTTCAGATGAGTTTACAGATGAAGACAGACTAGAAGGAAGGTGAGGTAGACTACTTCTGAAGCTTTAGTCACTGAAAACTTTTATGAATAGCCATGGAACACTGTCACATAACACCAGAATATTGTCAGATATAGTACTAGAAGGTGCACGCGTGCACACACATACACACACGCACAAAATGTGGGAAGAACAACCCCCTCAAAGAAGAGTTGACTGTGATGACATGAATGTAGTAAAGCTTCCAGAACCTTCATTTGCTAATGGGTACAACTAAAAAGGAGTAGAAAAAGCTGTAAACCTCCATTAATAATCATACCATGGAATGTACAAAGTATGAATCTAGGAAAATTAGGAGTTGTCAAAGATGAAATGGAATGCATAAAGATCTATATGCTAGGCATTAATGAGCTGAAATGGACTAGTATTGGGCATTTTGAATCAGATAGTCACATAGTTTACTATGAAGAGAAATGGCATTGCATTTATCATCAAAAAGACATTTCAAGATCTATTTTGAAGTATAATTGTCTGTGATTGGATAATACCCATATGCCTACAAAAAAAAAAAAAAAAAAACCAGTTAATACAAATACTTTTCAAATTTACACACCAACCACTGATGATGAAATTGAAAAATTCTACCAATTTCAATTTGAAATTGATCAAACATGCAATTAAAATGTATTGATAATTACTGTCGATTGAAATGTAGAGGCTGGAAACAGAGAGGAAGGATCTGTAGTTGGAAAATATGGCTTTAGTGATAGAAATGATGCTAACGATCACATGATAGAATTTTGTACAACTTATAACTTCTTCATTGCAAATACCTTTTTAAACAACATTAAAAAGGACTATACACATGGACCTCACCAGATGGAATACACAGAAATCAAATTGACTACATCTGTGAAAAAAGGCAGTGGAAAAGTTCCATAGCATCAGTCAAAACATGACCAGGGGCAGAGTGTGGAACAGAACATCAAAAGTTCATATGCAAGTTCGGGCTGAAACTGAAGAAAAGTAAAGAAATCTACTAGAGCCAAAATATAACCTTGAATAGAGACTATCTCAAGAACAGATTTTATGCATTCAACACTAATTACC